CCAATTTTTTATAGAAAAAGTCTTCCTCTCATAAAACTCTATATTAATTTGTGATTTTTTCAAAATTCCTCTCTCTTAAGAATATATTAACTCCCAATTAAAACTCAGAAATATCTCTCCTCAATGTGAATTCTCAAGTTTTATATATTGTGCATTTTTTAAAGCCATTTTAATATCATAATACATGGTGAGTTAGTCTAAATTTATAGAAAATTGATAATACAAAAAAGAAGTACAATGAAATATTTAGAGGGAAATTAAAAAAAAAAATTAATGAAGAGCCATAAGAATTTGGAGGGAAAAATTTAACAAAAAAAATCTTAATTTTTTCTCCCAGAGTGCTTTAGCGTATCTTTTGGTGAGTGATGGAAAATTTGGGAGGGAGAAAAATAAGGAATTAGTGTAGGATAGAAAAAGACACGTATAAATTTAATTAATTTAATGTTTTATTCATGGAATAAATGCAATCTATATATTCCATCGACAAATCATAATGATTAATCTGGTATATTTTGAAACAAGAGATTTTGAGTGTTTTTAAAAAGGATAATATTGGAATACCCTATAATATATTTACAAAATTAGCAAAAGTTAATAACTTCCTTGGTATCTGTAAAAAGTCCAAAACGACTTATAAAAAAAAAACAGAGGGAGTATTTGGTAGAATAATATGGATTTACCAGATATTTTCTAATTAATATCAAGATGAGATATTTTGTGAGAAAGGATTTGGTAGATATTATGAGAAAAGAAATATAATGGAAAGAAAAATCAAATGGAAAGTATATAAAGGAAAATAGATGGAAAAGAAAACATAAGGGAAAGAGAAGAGAAAGAAAGAAAGAGGAGAAAAGAGAAGAGAAGAGGAAAAATCTTGGAAAGCTCAAGGATCCGCTTCAAGCTTCGATTAAACCAAGGTAAGGGTGAGAAACATTGTTATTTAATCCATGTATGTGGTTATGTATGTGTGGGTTGGGTTTTTGTTGTGAGTTTCCACCATTTTTCAAGTTAGGGCAAAATGGATTTAATCGGTAGAATCGTAGTTTAATCGGTTAGAAATTGGAAATAATTCCGTAGAATAGTCGGGTGATGTGGGATTAAGATTACTGGAACTGGTTCGGTGAGAATCGGTCGATTTTTTTGGAGGATAGAAGTTTTGGGACAAAATGAGGGTTCTGGTTTCGCAGGTTCGCTGGCTCTCGCCAAGCGAGTGAGGGCGAAGTTTCGCCAGGCGAAGCCCAGCGAGTGGCTGGCGAGCAATTCCAGTAGCTCTCAGTGGACTTCGCTGGCTTGTTCGCCAGGCAAAGGAGGCAGCGAGTGGGTTCACCAGGCGAATCCCAGCGAGTGTAGTGGCGAATAATTCCAGTAAACTCCCAGTGGTCTTCGCCAGCTTGTTCGCCAGGCGAACTAGCAGCGAGCATTCGCCAATGGCTTCGCCAGGCGAATGGTAGCGAACGTGACATAGTTTTCTTTTCTCTGTGATTCCAATCCGCGTAGTTTGCTTAGCTTGATGGTGTTTAATCCTTAGCTGAGTGGCATGTTTTATGTTATGATATGTTGTACTGTGGGTAGCCTTTGGGCGTGAATCCTAGATGATAGGATCAAATATGAATTGCATTCTTTTGACAAATATTTGTATGCATTATATTAACATGTTTAAAATGCATGATTATTGTGATGAATTCGTCGTCGTTTGGCACGATATTGTGAACGTATATTGATTGAATGCGATTATATGTGAACAATGCATGAGAATATATTGTGAATATATGTGCATTGATTGATAGATATTATAAATGCATATTGTGTGCATGTGATTAAATGCGAAGAATGCATGGGAACATATCGTGGATATGTGTGCATTGTTTAATAATGTATGTAATGCATGGGAACATATCGTGGATATGTGTGCATTGTTTTGATGGATGTGATGATTGTATTGAATGTGAATGCCTTGAATTGTTATGAATATGTTGTGTGTGCAATCATGTTGTAATTCTTGAAGGGATGAATTATTTGAAATGCATGGGATTAAGATGCGGGAACGGTCTTAAGTGCATTTTGTTGGTTGATTGCATATGCATCATTTAGTCAAGAGGCAATGTTTGCTAGTTTCGTGGAGACTAGTGGCTTGTCCCAAACCTAGAAGGGTGGGTTTGAAGCCTATGGGACGGGCTTTGTTGTTATCGGTCTAGAAGGGTGGACCCGGTTTAAGTGTAAAAACCGAAAAATGATAACAAGTGTTGGTACCACATTGCATTGAGTTGTTTTGGAGTCACATAGCATAAATGTCATTGATATATGAAATATGCTTGTGAGTGAATGTATATTGGATAATTGTGAATTGTGCATGATGAGATATGCTAGATGAATATCCATATTTGTTCATATGTATGATGAGATGTATATGACTACAAAAATGAATTGTGGTGAGAAATGTGGATTATATGTAATTGTTACTTGTATATATATATATAATCTTATGCATTGATTATTATGGTAATATTTCTCACCCTTCTGCTGTTTTATAATGCTCTATGAGGCATTGCAGATTAGGTTGCTGGAGGTTTCTTTTGTGAAGTATAGCTTCATTCTTTTGAGTCGGACTGCTTTGATAATGTAACACCGGGTAGTTAGGCTTGTATAGCATTCTTTTGTGATACACTTGTGATGTATCAGTTGATGATATTTTGTAACATGAATGATATTGATGAACCAACTGGATAACATGTATTTATGTGATTAAATGTTTTGAGGTGATTCAAATGTTTTATCTTCCACTTTAATTCTAAATATCGAGATGTGGGTTTAAGGACTAAGTTCCTCTACTTTGAAAACTATCCCACTGTTGTATATTTTTATAGAGCAGGTGTTGAGTGTTTTATTAGTAATAATGTGACATACTTCTTTTATACTGTATTTTAAATTATACTCTGATAAAATTTATATGTGCCTATATATATTATTGTTTATTTGGGGGTATAGAAGGGGGTGTTACAATAATCACTATTTTTTTATTCCTTTAATTTTTCACTTTTTTCTTTCATTTTTATTTTTTAACCTTTTGAATTTTATTAATTAATTTAATAAATAATTATTATAATTTTCATGACAATGTAGCTTAATATTTTTATCTAAAAAATAATAGTAAAATATTTTCTGTTTTATTATATAAATAATTAACTTTTATTAAAATTAATTTTGGTAACAATGTTAATATATATATATATATATATATATATATATATATATATATATATATATATATATATATATATATATATATATATATATATATATATATATATATATATATATATATATATATATATATATATATATATATATATATATATATATATATATATATATATATATATATATATATATATATATATATATATATATATATATATATATATATATATATATATATATATATATATATATATATATATATATATATATATATATAAATATTTTATGGAGATTATAAATACATTACAAATTATAAATTATAGATTAAAAACATGTTTAAGCTTTAAAAAAATATTGAAAAAAATTTTGTGGACCCCACCTTCTTCTTCTTTTTCTCGCAAACGGTTTCCGAAAAATCCCAAAACCCTAAACTCAACCATCTTCAATTCATTTTTAATGATTCCTTCTCCAATTTAACCTCTAAATCCCTCGGCATCTTTCAATTTCCCGATCTTCTCTTTCTCTCAAATTCTGTCACAAAACCCCTTCATGAATGTATCAGTGAAGACAGAATCGGAATCCACAACAGTTTTAATTCGTGTAATGGTAAGTAGGGACTACGGCGAGTCTGGTGATGGTTTGAAGAGTGAGTTTCGAAGGTTGCAGAAACGGCCTTTATTTAAATGGATTACTAGATCAGTGATGGTAAGGTGGGGATGGTCAAGCGGTTTACACGATCGGCGGTGAAAGTAATTCCTGAGTCCGGTGAGGAGACAATGACTGAGTTAGAGCAACAGGTTGTTGCCATTGCAAGTGGTGGGTTTCTCAGTGTTGGTTATCCATCACAATCTCGATCCATCTTCGTGGAAGCGTTGAAACCGAGTGATACATTTCCGAGACGCCATAACTCAGCAACACCAGATGAACAGACGAAAATGGATGAATCTGTTGGTTTCGATACGCTTGATTCACTTGTGGAAGCAATAGTGCCGAAATCGATTCGGTTGAAGGAAATGAAGTTCAATAAATTTGATGGTGGATTGACAGAAGGTCAAATGATTGAACACATGAAGTATTTAGCTTTGAACAACAAGGTTTTCAAATCGTTTATTGGTATGGGATACTATAACACTCATGTTCCTCCTGTGATTTTGAGGAACATCATGGAGAATCCTGCTTGGTATACACAGTATACACCTTATCAAGCTGAGATATCTCAAGGTCGTCTTGAATCTTTGTTGAATTTTCAGACCTTGATTACTGATCTCACTGGTTTGCCTATGTCAAATGCTTCATTGCTTGATGAAGGTACTGCTACTGCGGAAGCAATGTCTATGTGTAATAATATTCAAAAGGGTAAGAAGAAAACTTTCATTATTACTAGTAATTTTCATCCGCAAACCATTGATATATGTCAGACGAGAGCCGATGGATTTGAGCTCAAGGTTGTGGTGAAAGATCTTAAGGATATTGATTACAAATTTGGTGATGTTTGTGGTGTTCTTGTTTAGTATCCTGGTACTGAAGGCGAGGTTTTGGATTACGGTGAGTTTATTAAGAAGGCTCATGCTAATGAGGTTAAGGTTGTTATGGCAAGTGATCTGTTGGCATTGACTGTGTTGAAACCTCCAGGTGAGTTTGGAGTTAATATCGTTGTTGGTTCAACTCAGAGATTCGGTGTTCCAATGGGTTATGGTGGTCCTCATGTTGCTTTCTTGGCTACTTTGCAAGAGTATAAAAGGATGATGCTTGGATGAATTATCGGTGTTAGTGTTGATTCTTCTGGAAAGCAAGCTTTGAGGATGGCTATGCAAACTAGGGAGCAACATATCCGTAGACACAAGGCCACCAACAACATTTGCACTGCTCAGGTAACTTAGTATGTGTTGTGTTCTCTAACGAAAATTGTTCCGACTGAATTGATTTTAGTTGAAGTGAGTTTAAGGTGAAGTAATTTATGTTTTGATCACAAAATCTTGTGTCATATGACTAGCACTTTTAATAAATTTCAGAATTGATTATATGTTAGCTTTAAAGTAGAATAGATTTTGGTTGAGGATTTTATTTGATTCTGGTTGGTTTTATTTAGGCACTGCTTGCAAACATGGCTACTATGTATGTTGTATATCATGGATCTGAAGGCCTTAAAGCCATTGCAAAAAGGGTTCATGGTCTTGCCGGTGTGTTTGCTCTGGGATTAAAGAAACTTGGATTCAAAGTTCAGGATCTTGGCTTCTTTGACAATGTGAAGGTTAAAACTTCAAATGCCAAAGCAATTTTAGATGCTGCTATCAAAAGTGAAATCAATTTGCGTGTTGTAGATGGAAACATTGTAAGTCATGCATAGATTCTTGTACCAAATCAGTTTGACTATATTTACATGTCTTTGAATTGTGACGGAGCTTGTTTTCTTTTCAGATCACCGCTGCTTTTGACGAAACAACCACGTTAGAGGATGTTGATAAGCTTTTCAAAGTTTTCACTGGTGGCAAGCCTGTACGTTTAAATCATATATCCATTTTGTATTTGTTTTCACAATTATCATGATATCATTATTGCATCTAAATTTTTTATTTGTCTACAGGTCTCATTCACAGTGACATCTCTTGCACCAGAATTTCAAAATGCAATTCCTTCTGGATTATTTAGGGAGAGTCCCTATTTGACACACCCTATCTTTCACACGTATATCCCTTTTCTCGAAAAATTTGATTTATGTCGTTGAATTTCATAAGCATACTACAATTTTGTTTCATTTGATTTTTCCTTTATAGGTACCAAACTGAGCATGAGTTGCTGAGATACATTCATAGGTTACAATCAAAAGATCTCTCATTTTGCCACAGTATGATCCCACTTGGATCTTGTACAATAAAGTTGAATGCAACAACTGAAATGATGCATGTGACATGGCCTAGCTTTACTGATTTGCACCCTTTCACACCAATTGAACAGGCTCAAGGTTATCAGGTACTTCCTTCGTCTCATACTAACTGTCTTTTAAGGTAATGCTCATGTCTTAAGAAAATGTTTATCTATACTAATTTTTAATGCAATAATGCCTTGAAATATAGGATAGTTTTGTATTTTCTGTGTCTAAACAAGCGAATTTGATTCCAGGAAATGTTCGACAACTTGGGTGATCTGTTGTGTACCATTACTGGATTTGACTCCTTCTCTTTGCAACCAAATGCCGGTGCTGCTGGAGAATACGCCGGGCTCATGGTTATTCGTGCATATCATTTGGTATGGTAGCTTGTTGAACTGTGAAGTAGACATTCATATGTTCGTATGTTGCACTACAATAGTATATTAGTGTTGTAGTGTTTGATTCTGTTATTTGATTAATTGAATTTCGATTGAGCATTTTCTGCCGAGTCAGTTTTGTTTCAATTTAAATTTTGGTGCGAATTATGGCTATTGTGCTATATGTTTGAATTGTTGCATATGCGATTGGTTATTGTATACATGCTATGTGTGATGTGGTTCAAAAATTAGAGAACACAAGGTTAATGATTGAAAACTTTTTTATGGTAGTGTTTATTGTGTGAATATCATGAATATTGATGATTACCATTAATGTAACCTATAATAGTTGTATTATTATGAATCCTAAACTGAGTGCAGATTTTTTAAAAAAAAAATATTTGCAACTTGCGGCGGTTCAAACCGCCACAATATACCATAGTTTTTTTATTAAAAAAACTATTTGCAACTTGTGGCGGTTCAAACCGCCACAATACACTTTCGCAATAAAACATAAATTATTAAGCAAGTTAAGACGGTTGAAAACCGTCACAATATGGAGATTACGACAGTTAGCTACTCGTCGTGAAAATAACGACGGTTTGTACGACAGTTTTCACAACCGTCGCAATACGGCCTCGCGACGCACGTTTCCGCGACGGTATTAAAACTGTCGTACCTTACAAATTGCGACGGTTAAAACTGTCGTAATCTATCAAAATGAACCATCGCAATTTGCCAATTTTCTTGTAGTGTTTTATGAGAGTTTAGGTTTTTAAGAAATTGAAGTCGGAGATCCGGAAGGTCTCCAACGGTAAAAAAAACGCATAAAATTCTACATGCTGTCCGTCACGACTGTTTATGTTTTTGGTCGAAATTGTTTTGTACATAACTTTTGATCCATAAGTCCGTTTTGGCCCCGTTCGAAGCATTGGAAAGCTAATGAACAAGGCCATGATGACATCGAAAGCTTTGATGAGAATGAAATCATACATAGAAGAAGAAAAAGTCAAAAGAGAGTGATTCCCAACCATCTTTATTTGAGCCAGGATCTTTCAAATAGAATTGGATACTGCCATACCCCAAATTTTGACCCCTAGATTCCATTATCAATCTAGGTGCATCAATCATATGTTATCTAACTTAACCTCTTTGAAGTTTGGTCTTTGTCAAGATGCAGATGAATTAAGGTTTCACATTGTCAAAATCAAGGACCTTGTGGACTGATCAGTCAAGGTGTTGGATTGATCTTTCACAAAACAAGTCTTCATATCATCAAGAGTATCATATCTTGCCAAAAACAAGTTCTATTTGAGGTTGTTACCAAAAGAATAGGAGCAGTGTAGTGCAAAACCCTAATTAGGGTTTCTTATGGAAAAAGTCAATTGAAGTTTGACTTTTGACTTAAATGGTTTTTCAAGGCTTGAATCATGGTTCATGGTACTCCTATGACTTATTAAATTCTCCTCAATAAGTTTGAAAGGCTCAAAGAACCTAGAACACTGAGGATCGATCCTGAAGATTTCAACTGTTCGGTTCGTCTGTCTGGAAAGTCAACTCTTTGACTTTTAGGGTTTTGACCCCAAATTGAAGCAAGCAAGTTTTCCAACATAACTTTGTTCCTAACTAGTGATTTTTGTGGATATTTAATCAAGGATTGATGGATAACTTGCAAATTAAGAAACTAGGGTTCATGAAAAAACCCTAATTTTAAGCCAACTTGAAATGATCATAACTTCTTAACCACACATCCAAATGGAGTGGTTCAAAGCTTGTTCGAAAGCTCTTGAGGAGTCCTACAAAAGTGTCCTATATGGTTGAGGTCCAAAAATGAATGTATTTTGAGTTATGTGCTCATCAATTTGTGAAGAATTTCAACGCTTAGAAAATTTCCTTGTTTCTTGACTTGTAAGTCAGCTTCTGCGACAAACTTCATGAGAATTTTTGACATAGTTCCCTTTGGAATTTGAGCTTTGGCCAAACATAAAAGTTGTAGGTCATATTTGGGGATTTTTAAAAAGTAGAAAATCATTTTCTCAGCCTTTATGGTTAGGGAGAATCAAAGGAGGTAAGTTGAAGGTTTGTCATGTCAGAAAATCAAGTACAACTCTTGCCAATGGATACGTAAACCAGCCAAATCCCTCCTAACCACTTAGTTAGATCGTATTCTGATGTTTAGAGGTTTAGTTAATGATAGTACAAGAAGGTACCACAAGCAAAAACCATAACTTTGGTTAATGAATTGTTTATTCAAAGAAAGTACAACCAAGTAGCCATGAAAGAGAAACTTTGTGCAAAACCTGTTGCAACTCAGTTGCTGCATCAGATGCAAGTACCTTTTCATTTCATACCAAATATTTACAGGTTGTTAGTGATGATGAAATGCATTAGAAACTCGTTCTTGCTCAGAAACAAAATCACAAGTGGGATTTGCTCACTTTTCCCTCCAAAAAGGCAAAAAAAACTTTGCAAAATGATATGAACTGCCCATACTACTTACTCTCTAACCTTTCCTATAAATAGGAAAATCTTATCACATACAAACCACACCAGATTGATCTAGAAACCAGGAAAAAAATCTCTCATTCCTCTGATCATAACCTTCTTGCAAATTGTGAACTTGTTCTCTTGTAGCACAAAAACTGTCTATGCAAAAACTTTGTCCAAACCTTTTCCAGCCATCAAACATTTCCACCAACACTTAAAACACATCAAAAATGAAGTATTGAAGCTGTTCAAACACTCACCTTCACCAGAAAACACCTCATTCAAAAAGTCAACTGTCAATGCAAGATAGTTTGACTTTTTGCATCTTTGAAGCAAAAACTCTGTCCACTTCATTTCCAGCTACTCTAACCCTTCAAACACCTTACATATAAGTTATTTGAGCTATCCAAATCATTACCACACTCCTTTAACACCATTTCAGAAGTTTTCCCTTGGAAGTTCTTGGTCATTCCTAGCAAAAACCATCATTCTGTCAAAGCAGTCACTTGGAGGGAATTTGGACCACTTGAATAGCTTATTTGGAACATCTTGAGGCAGTTTAAATCATCACCTCTCAACTGGAATTCTTGATCTGTGCATTTTCTTAAGGAGGCTACAAGAGGTAAGTATTCATAACTAGCTACATTTAGAATCATACAAGTTTTTGATGTGCGTTGAGTATGGACATGTTTAATATCTGTTATAGGTCATGTTTGAACCTTGGTTTGCTCTTAAACTTGTATGATTGTGACTGTCTCATTGGTTTTGCTTGCTAGTTTACTTAAAATTTCTTTTCTATAAGCAACATTGTGTTTTTGTTTAAGAATAGGTGCTAGATGTTTGTAAACATCATTTACATGTTATATGTATTGTGTTGAATCACTTAATTGTTATTGAAATGTTGCATTTATGTCTGTCACAATGTTCTTGCTCAAACTTGGCATTTTGGTCACTTCATGTGCTATCTATTGTTTAAACTCATCTCTTGGTGTGTTATGTTTGTAAGCATCATTTATATGTTCCATATGGTGTGTTTGATCATTTGTTTGCTGCTGAAACCATGTGCATTTGACTGTCAACATGTTATTGCACATAACATGTCATTTTTGATGTTGCTATCGAATTTTCCATATGATGCATGATCTGTGAAAACTATCACTACCATTGAGTTCTTTGTGAAAAAATACACAATTTCATTTTTTATTTCACTCAATTTGGTTGAGTTTTGAGCAAGTTATGATTGCTTTTGCAAATCTGCCTAGACTAGGTCCAAGTTGCCCAAGTTTTTGCCTTGCCTTGCCTATTTTGACACCCAATTTTCCAAAGTGCATAAATTCTTTAATTGTTATTATTTTGATTCCATTATTTTTGAAAAATGCTCCTTGATATGTCTAGTTTCAATGTGTGAAGAAAGAATTCAAGAATTGTTATTTTTGAAACACTTTGACCCACTTGAAAGGCATGACCTTTTGGGTTTTTACTTGTTTTCATGAGTTTATTTGACTTAGTACTTGATTTTTCTTGTATGATTGATCTTGTTTGAATCACTTTTGTATGTTTAACATGTTTATGTGTTTGAAAACATTTGGTTCTTTGCTTTACCATGCTTATTCTTGCCTTTGTAAATGCATGAATATGAAAACCATGCCTTGAAACTTTTTGTTGATTTGTGATATGCTTCTTGATATTTTAACCTCTTGAACATGATACCTTAACCTCATCTTACTTGTTTATGTGCCTTTTTAGAATCATAACATGTTTAGGGTTTGATTCTTGCCTTTGTAAATGCATGAATGTGAATGTATGACTTGGAACTTCTCTGTGAATCCTTATGTGTTTCTTGATGTTGTAACCTCACGAACATGATCCTTAACACCCCCTACCTTACCTTACTTGTTTATGTGTCTTGGTAGAACCATAATATGTTTAAGATTGATTCTTGCTTTGAAAGATACTATGAATCTTGTTTACCTTCCCTTATGTAAAGTTTGAACCCATGCTTGAACTGTTGTTACTCTTCTTGCTTGTCCATGATTGATTGTTATCAATATGCCTTGAAAATTATTAAATGTTGTTAAATTTATCTTTTTTTGATTCATATACCATGTTTGACTCAAGTTGTAACTTGTATGCATGAGTTTTGTTTGTTTATCATTGATGAACTTGTTGTTGTTACACATGTTTCATACTTGCTCTTGTTGGTTTGTTACCTTCATGATCTTTAAACACTGTTATGTTAAGTGAAAAACCTTGGTTTTTACCATGCTTGTTGTATATCAAGTTGATAATATCTTATTTCTACTTATCTTTGTCAAGATTGATTCATATGGGATGGAACTTGTTAGTTCCCATCAAGTTGTTTTGTTATCATTCTTGTTTCATGTTGTTACATGTTTGCCTTAATCTTTCTTGGTTGTTACCATGACTTCTATATCTTTATCATATTTGAATGAATGCTTATATGTGCTTTAAATTTGCTAAGTTCTCCCCAAGAGATGAAACTTGTTAGTTCCCATCCAGTT